ACCAAACCCCAATCCAGTAGACAGGAAGAAGTAACAAAAAATCAGAGCAGAAATTAATGAAATAGAAACAAACAATACAAAAAATAGTGAATCTAAGAGGTGGTTCCTTGATAAGATAATCCAGGTCTACTGACCCTTAGCCTAATTACTAAAGAAAGAAGAGACCCAAATTAACAGAATCAGAGATTTTAAAAAAATAACATAATTAACTAATTTAATTCTGTCTCTCAAAAACCCCAATACATGATGTATATCTTTCATCTTCCCGGCCTCTCATAATACCCGCAGTATTTCAAGTCTTTCTTCCACCTTCCTGTGTTAGTCAGCTTTATGTTCCTCTGACAAAACACCTCAGATAAACAACTGACAAGGAAGAAAAAATTATTTTAGTTTATAGTTTCAAAGATTTGTTACTAGTGGAATGACTTTCCTGTTTGGGGGGAATCTTGTAAGGCACAACCTCACTGTAAGGAGTGTTTAGTGGAAAATATCCCCTTAGTTCATGGAAAGCAATGAGCAAAAGAGAGAGAGAAACAGAGGCCAGAAACCCAACACAGCCTTCAAGGACACACCCCTCCAATGACCTAATTCCTCTGAGTTGGGTCTAACATGGTATGAGCTACAAATGGCTTCAATGGTTACAATGGCTTGGCCCACAGCCTATCTATTTATGGCACATATGACCTTGTGCTTGCCTTGGCACTGCTTGCTGCCTTTGGCTTCCCTTGACTCACAACCCACGTCCCCAGGAGCTCTAAATTCAGTTCCTGGGGGTACCCACTGCAAGTTGGACTTCACTCTCACTGCTTTGACAATACTTTCTCAGTAGCTGTTTACATGGATTCCTATCCTGATCTCCTAAGATTTCCTTTAAAAATCTCAACAGAAGCTTGTGTGATCCAATGACTCTTGTATCCAGCATGCTTGAAAAATCAGCATCATATGACTAACACTAAAATCTGCTATCGGCATCAGCTGTAGCTGGGCCTCCTTAGACTACTGCTGAATGCTATGTGACTGAATTCAGAAAAAAAGAATCCCATGGAGATATTCCTAGTGTTTCAGAGCTGTGTTACCAAAGCAAGATCTTGGAATGAATTACACTTGGATACCTAGAGGCTGCAATGAGTAAAGTCTTTGTGAGTCCTATTTTTCAGTTGCAGTATACTTGACTTCTTTTAATTGTGTTAAACTCTTTAACAAGCACAACATCCCTAACTCAGACTTTAAATATACCCAATTATTGATAAAGCTGCAAGTTTTTCAGATCTTTCCATTATGCTTTTATTTGTGCCTGATTCTAAGTATAAATCTGGTTAAAGACCCAGGTGTTCCATGCCACTGGCTGAATGCTGTGAGGTACCTTGAAATTGGCTCTTTCGATAAACTTGCTCATCCACCTTTAAACTTTAAACCTTTAAACTTGGCCGCTAACGATGACTCAGGGAAAGACATAGGAAAAACAGTGTATGGAAGTTCTGTACCAGGATGAACTACTAAAGGTTTCTAGTCCAATTAACAAGTTAGAGTCCTTGTGTCCATCTGAAGCCTCACCAACACAAACTTTATTGTTCCCATTCTTGTCGGTACTCTGATCTTTTAGGGCCACCAAGATATCTCTTAATTTCTTTTTATAGCGTTTTTAGGCCTTTTCAAACCCCCCCCCTTCTCCAAATTAGCCCAATGTTTCTGCAGTATCTGTGACAGATAAGAATGCTGTTTAGAGACTTCCCAGGCCCATAAAAGTGAATCACAGTTGGAGGCCTTTAGGAACTGGTAGCAAGTTCATGCTGTCATGTACAGACTACTGCTTTCTCTTGGAGCAGCAACTCTTGGCCCACTATGAGACTTTGAGGGTGATCATCAGCTACGAGCTTACTCTGTGACCCAAAATGCCCAGTATAAATGGTGCTATCTGACCCACTAAGCCATAAAGCTGTATATATACAGCAACAACACATCATTGAGGAGAAGCGGAATACATATGATTTGGCTTGAGCAGATCCTAAAAGTACAAGTAAGCTACATCAAGAAGTGGCCCAGAGGCCCATAGTTCCTCCTGCAGAGACACCTTCTGTTCCCCACCATGTACCTATGGTTTCATGGTGAGCATTCAATTATCAGTTGACAGAGGAAAAGAAGACTAAGGTCTTATTTACAGATGGTTATACACATTATGCAGTTACCACCCCAAATCGACCATCCAGATTATCCTAGGCTATTCTGACATTTGACTTTTACAGTGGGCAGAAATTCAGACAATGCACCTGGTTTTAAACTGGGACAAATGGCCAGATATGTGACTATATCTCTATGCAGTGATTTGGTTGGTCAGGGATTTGAGAAGAATATGATTAAAAAATTGATGGGAGACTAATTTTATATCTAATCCTGGAGGATAACCAAGTCTGCAGTACAAATGAACATTAACTTTTGAACTAGAACAACTTAGAACTGAGACTGGCAGGAAGCAAAGTTTCAAGTTTAATAGCTTTGTTCCCTTGTTAATAATTTTTTAGATCATTAAATATTTTTCAGATACATTACGGCATTAGCACAGTAGCCTGTATGTGCATAATTTTGCACATACTAGAATAGTGATATCCAAAAGGAGTCATTAGGAAGGATTAACTAGAATTTGGAGAAATGGGAACCCTTATTCATTGCAGGTGATACTGTAAAATAGAGCCATTCCTTTGGGAAAGGGTTCCTCCAAAAATGAAAAACAGTTACTCCATGACCCAACAATTCTACTTCCAGATATGTGCTAAAGAGGGTGGAAAAGAAGGTTGTATCCAAATGATACAGTCAGATATTCACAGCAGCATAATTCACAATGGTCAAACTATGGAAAGAAACTTAGAGACAATCAACTAATTAGTGGAGACATAAAATCAGGTCTGTCTATGCAATGACTATAGTTTCTCCATACATGGAATGAAACACTGTTACATGCTACTCCTAGGACCTAGAAGGATCCCAGAAAACAGTATACTAAGTGAAAAAGATACACAAGTCACATGTGAGTCTATATATGTGAAACGTGCAAAACAGTCCAATCTATAGACAGAACATGGAATAGTTTCATCAGGGGAGGGAGAGGAAAGACTATGATCTAACTGCTAATATGCTGGGTTTCTTTACGGAGAAAATGTTGAAGAATTAAGTGTATAGTTGCCTGACATTCCATTTTAAAAGTGTGAATTTTTGGCCAGCAAGTTGGCTCAGTAGGGAAAAGCACTTGACACACAGCCCATGGTGAAAAGAGAGACTCCTGAAAGTTGTCTTCTGATATCAACATGTGCATGCCCACACTCACAAATACACAATAATAATATTAATTAGTCAATAAAAATAAATTTTATAGTATATAGATTTTATGTAGTGCCATAAAAATGTTTTAAAAAGACCAAACCCAGAGATAAGTAGAAATACATTTATTGCTGAACATTATGCTGACAAGTGAATTTAGTGTTTGGCATGTTTAAATAAATACATATTTATAAACTATAAAATATTTAAAATCATAATTTAAAATACTATATAAAACTCAAATACAGACCATATTCATATTTTACACAGCTATTTCTGATACAGTGGATATGTAACTATTTAAAACATTGAGTGATTTCAGAGAAAGCAATAATTCATTCCATGTCATCTGCTCACAACAGTTGATCTCTATCTCTTTCTCTCTCTAGCGCTTGCTGTCACTCTCTTGCTCTTTCCCTCCCTTTTGGTCCTAAAGTTTATCATTTCCATTCTCACTGTTGGCTTTCCCACTGCCACTATTCAGCAAGCACTTTTCTGGAACTTTCCTTTTTTCATATGTTAAGTTAGTGGAAATTTGGGACACTTTTGGCAGTTACTGATCCAGGATTTTTCATTACCAATGACAACTGGAAATTCCTTGGGAATTTTAATCTCTGCTTACAAGAGAAACCATAAATCTCATGCACAAAAGCTTTCCCCATCCCTAGAACACATGCACACTCAGAATAAAACAACTAGAGTAACTATTAGGCTTCTTTGCTTTCTTTACATGATGAGGCTTCATCGTGAATTTAACATCTTATGTAATATACAAAAATTATGTTTTCATTTGCCACATGTAATGACTATCTTTGTAGGAATGCAAAACACATCCATATTTGACATGCTTTTAAACAAAGACTCAAATATACACCTTCACTTTTTAGCATTTATCAAATCAGAACATTTGGCCTCAAGGAAGTTTTTCCTCTCAGAAAAGAAGACATTTGGGAAGAAAATCCTGACAACATGCAAACGATCCATTCACTTTGATTCTTCTGATAGTACCATGGTTTAAAAAGAACTATAGTTAAATACTCAGAACTTCACACTGGTTAACAATTGCTCATTTAAAAAATAAGTTTGCTGCAGATGTAACATTGGAATTTGTTTTTTAAAAAAAGAGAAGGTAATCTAGAATAACTTTAACCTTATCATAGCCCACGATATTTAGTGATTTTTATCTTTTAAAAAAAGTTTTTTTTGGACAGGGACTCCCTAGTCCCAGTCTGGAAGTCACTATGCGGACCAAGCTGGCCTTGATCTCACAGAGATCTGCTTGCCTCTGCCTCCAGAGGGCTGTGATTAAAGATGGGTGACACCATACCCGGCTTGTTTTTGTGACAGCATCTCCCTGAGTCATAGCTCTCCTGGAACTTGCTATGTAGAGCAAGCTAGCCTCAATTTCACAGAAATATGCCTGTCTCTTGCCTCCCAAGTACTGGGCTTAAAGATGTGTGCTACTGGACCTGATGTCACTTCATGATTTTTAAAAGGGTCCCTATGACCCTTGCACTAAAAAAGGAATGATGACTTACGATACTGCATTCAACGCAAGTAAACAGAACACTCTCTCTAAGAACACATCTGAAGGCACCAAATCCTGTGGGGATAAAGCAATTAAGCCAGCCTAGGTGGCCTGGCACCCAGCACAAGTAGGATTTGCACCATGTACCCCCAACCAGCTTCCCACGCCATTGCTTGAGGGTGTGAAAATTTTGCCAGTCTTTTCAAGATAGAAAATATATTTAGTCAACTTGTTTGATGGAAACTGCTGATAAATATTGCTCATCCCCATAACAACAATGATGGCATTAGCAGTTGAAACACTATGTGGAACAAGAGAAATAAACAAAGCCAGAAGCACTGTTTCTTTCCCCAGATTCCAGAATGATTACGTAAGAGTTAGAAAAGGCATTCTGCTACTGCAGAGCCCCAAGTCTTTTCACTCTTGCTTGAGGAAGACCCACTTTAGCTTCCATAGTCATCACATTCTTCATCTTGTGGCTAAGAAAGAAGAAACTGTGACTTTTGGGAGGAAGGCTGGCCTTGCCCACTGATTTTGATCTGTGGAGTCACGATTCCAGCTGTAAAGTAGGCAACAGAGGCCAGGATCCCATCGACGTTCATTTTCTGTCTTCAGTGCTTCTCTCTACCTCCCTGAATGCATCTGCGTTTCTGTGAATAAAAGCAAGTGTGAAGGCCTTCTGAAGGCTTCTGCATACTGGGAGCAATAACAAAATGCATTTTCTAAGTAGGCTTTCTCTTGGGGTGGTCCAAATGTAAACTCCCAATGACACTTAGCTAGGACTGTGAGGATTGTCTTTATGATACTATAATGATAGATAGAGGTCATTTGAACCTGCTAAGCCCTGTTGATAAACAACACATAGAATGAACTCTGGTGCATCTTGGACTTATAATAATGCATCTATGTTGGCCATTTTTAAAAACTATGCTAAGGAAAGATGTCAGTAATGAGAAAAATGAAGGAGAAGGAGTTGAAGAGGTAAATTGAAACACTGTCCTGTGCTTTCTGTTCAAATTTTCTAAAAGCCTCAACTGTGCCAAAAATTCTGTTCATTAAGAATACGGTATTTAAAGGGTTTGATCCTTCCACATTCTCAGAAGGCCACAGATTCCAGACCACACTGCTACTAGGTTTCGAATCCCAGCAACATCACCCAGTAGCTTTGGGAATTTACACAAGTTTTCATAAATTCTGTGCCTCATTTCTTCATCTCAGAGAAATAGAGGAGAAGGCCCTGTCTCTTGGAGTTGCTAGCTTAGAACGGTGCCTCGGATTCTGTAATTGCTGAATAAGGGTCAGCATTTATCATCATTATCATTCATAAATAAAATGAATCAAGAAAAGCAAGACTCTGCTCTTCCCTCTCTCTCCTTCAGATAAATGAAACAGCTTTCTAGAAATTATCATAAGGATGGGAATTCCCTCTAGTCAATGGCAGTTTTTTTTTTGGCGGGGGGCGGTGGTCCAAGGAAAAACAGCACTTCTGAAGGTGATTCTCTCATTAATATGGCCTACCGAAGTCTTACCTGATTATTTTGAATTTAGGTGAAGTGAGAAGGTATTTGGTAATTTCCATATGATTCCAGGCTTTGGCAGCTACTGTGGGAACATGAGAACACTATGTTAAGCACTGTCTTCCGACATGCAGAGAAAAAACATTTAGAGCATTGAAAGACCTGCTTGGTGCAAGAATTCAACTTACCTAGCAGGAACAAATTTCTTTGCTGCAAGAGAAAGAAAACCATTAATTTGGACTAGTGACTTTTAATCAAACCAGATATAAGTGTACTTGATTCATCTGGCTTACACTCTTAGTGCCTCACTCTATGATAAGCACTTGGTGGCAATTAAGGTAAAATGCAAAGTGTAAAGCATCCAAAGAGCACAGCAGCTTCCTTCTACCAGGACATAGTTGCATGCTCAGCCTGCCTGGTTCTTCTAGTTTTCATGAGAAATCCAAAATCTGGACTTTTATGTGAATTTCCTAATGTATAAATATTGGAATTTAATTTAGAAAAGAAGTCTGAAGGCAAGGGAATGATGAGTGTCCTTAAATGTGTTTTGCTATTCCTGATGAGATATAAATTAAGATTGCATTCCAAGTAACCTACTCAGGAAGCATGTTAATCATTCTCCTAGGCGCATTCATCTTGCCCTTCTCATTGTTCAGCTCCAACTACACCATGGAATGCAAAGTGAGTAGCGCCCCCTGGAGTTACGGTAATGTTAGCACAACCAATATGAGTTTCCTAAATCTCTTCCAATTTTGAGTTGCCTTAGGAGCTCTTGTCCTGAGACTTTTTCCTTTGCCATCTAATAATAGGTTCTAGTTACTGTATTCTAGCAAAATTTTTCAACAGACTATGACTCATAAATGAGAAAATGATAGAATTTTCAAAAACATTTTTCGAGTAGATGCCCGAACTTACCTTTCTTCCTAAAGTATTTCAGAAGCCAGAAGAGAAATGACGACATTGCCAGGAGTGAGGTTCCTGCGGTGGAAAGTGCAGCTGCCAAGGGGAGGACCGGCTTGATGGGAGCTAAGGGAACAGGAAGTGGGACATGATGAGCAACAATTGGCTACTTCTTTCTACATCCACTACGATAAGAAGAGTCATGTAGTTAAATGCATGAAGCAGAGACTTGGCATTAAAAACTTCTAGATCTGGTTTAAACAACCACTGAGGTATGTCCCAATGTTCCAGGGAGGACCTGACCTTGGAAAGCTCTTTTATAACACACCACATCTTGGTCAATACTGAGCTATGCCTGCTTTTTCTTCCTCACATTTCTTATTTCCTACTCCTCTTTTCCCTTCTAGATCTCCTTTTTTCTAATTATCAGAATTCTACCATTCCACTATGAGAGAGGAGGAAGATTTCTAAAGGGAAGGGGAAAAAGAGAGGGAGATAGAAATGTCAGGAAACTAGAAGGGGTTCCTATTTGGAGGGAGAAAGGAGACTAGCGGGGGGGAGAACAAAATATAATTATATATGTATATAAATATAGATGAAGACGTTATAAAGATTCATTTCTTTGTGTACTAACATTTATTTTAAAATTAAAAATATAATTGTGAAACTAAAAAATTCTACCCATTCCATTGACATGCCTTATTTTCTGTTTTCTTCCTAGCCCCATAAAACTAAATATTCATCAGTTTCCTACCCTGGACTGCAATTTTAATTTGTACATAATGGACAATTAGCTCCATTAACAGTATAGCACCATCAATCAATACATCACCTTCACAGGTAGGCAGCATCCCAGACCAGTGTCCTGTGGCACCACATGTCAGAGCTGCCGATCCATTGAGTATCCATTCTTCCGGGCAAGCAAACTCACACACAGTGCCAAACACAGGAGCTCCAATGCAGCTCATGTTGATCTTTCCTGGAACGTCAAGGCTTGAACATTGTACCACTGCAAATGACAGGAACATGCTAGAGATTAGGAAAACCTCGCTGCAAAATTACTAATCTGACGTGTACCCTGAGAGTGTGAACTCAATTCTACCTTGGCAGGAGGGGACCTCCTGGGTCCACTGTCCATGAGCTGTACACTCAAGTTGAACTGATCCATGTAATTTAAAGCCTTCCTCACAGTGGAAGGCACAAGAAGACTTGTAGGTGAATTCTCCAGTAGCAGCATGAACACACTTCATGGAGCCATTCTGGGGCTGAGAGACAGCGTCACATTTCACAGCTGAAAGAGAGAAACAATTCAGAGGTGCTTGCATTAGGTCGCAGCAAGTATCTCCAGGTAGCCAAGTCATAAAACTCTCCAACAGTTTCTATCTTAAAGTGAAATAGAAAAAATGTCTGCAGAGGGTCAGCAAGCTGCTTCAGTGGGTAAGGGCGCTTGCTGCCAAGTCTGATGACCTGAGTTCCTTCCCAGAGACCCACAGGGTGGAAAAAAACAGACTCCTGCAAGTTGTCCACTGATGTCACACACAGTGGTGAACGTGTGTGTGCATGTGTGGTGTGTGTGTGTATGTGCAAATAAAATAATAAAGAATTTCTGTACCTACACATGTGGGCTTTTTGCCATCCCACTCTCCTCTTGGGCCACACTGGAGCCTTTTGGATCCCTTTAACTCAAATCCTTGGTCACAGAAGAACTCACAGGTGGATCCACTTGGGAACATTCCAGAAGCACTATGAAGACACTTCATGTAGCCTCGCTGTGGCCTGGATAAAGCTTCACACTGGAAAGCTGAGAAATTAGAAAAAGAATCAGAAAATATCAGTGACGCTGGAAAACATTTGTCATTTGATGACCAAGTTCATTTGTCCCAAAGCCGCACTCAAAGAACCCACAATGATCTTCATGACAAGCACCTGGGCAGACGGCTGGTTTCTTATGTGATGCAATCCCCCTGTGATAATGACACCTAATGAAGTGTAGCCATCAGCTAGAGCATGGGTCCCTGCACATGAGTCTGATATGCACAAGGGAAGGTCAAAGGGGAGTTTTACGCTACCAGAGAACAAGGTATGGGTCATGGATGCTTCAAAATGGTGCCAAAATAAAAGAGAAAACGCCTTCCATACAAAATACGCCAGCTCTTAGCTTGTGTTTGGTGTGCGGCTTTTGCTGCTTGAACTCATTCTGTTAAATTTCGTTCTGAGAGTGACAGTACTGGATGAAACAAGCTGCTTGCTTTGAACATTCTAGCTCTTACTGTAAAGTCGATTCAATTTTTTGTAAATTTTTTATTGAATTTTTGTGTATTTCATACAGAACATCTCAATCAATGTTAATCACCTTTATAAAGTCAATTAAATTTTATTGCTCACACGTATATCAAACAATCCTTGTGGGTGACATCAAGCTGGGGGCACTGTCACCACTGCAGTTCCAACTTTTAGAAGAAACCTATGGTGATGGTTTGAGGTTCAAGTAATGTCATTATTCTGAGTTTTACATTTTTATGGGATTTCCCTTATATTAACAATTCTACTTACCCTGTGCCAATGTCTGTAAGTTACTATTATTAATATACCCTAGTTTAGAAACCAGCAAAACATTTCTTTTTGTTACACATGGTGCTGCCTCCTGGCCATGCATCCATTCTTTATGAAGTTCTAAGATGTTACTGTCCTCATATCTGGTATCTATAGTTAAAGGGGACACCTAGTGTCATTGTCATTGCCTAAGATAGAAGATGGCGACTGTTTTAGAAACAAAAGTGTGGAGGAGACCATTTCTGACTCACCTTTGCACACAGGGATCTGTGGTGTCCACAGCCCTTGTACATTGCATTCAACCTGGGCTGCCCCCTGCAACACGAAGCTCTCCGCACAGCTGAAGCTGCAGGATGACTTGAAGGCAAACTCTCCAGCCTCGGAGTGGTTGCAGCTCACAGAGCCATGCTGAGGCTGCTGGATGGCATCACAGGTCACAGCTGTAACACATGTATGCATTTATATTAGCAAGTCTGTCTTGCCCATTCAAGTGCAGGATGAGGAAGAGAATGTTTACAGTGAGTCTCAGTGTGGAACGACTCTACCTTTACACACTGGCTTCTTGTTGTCCCAGTTTCCGGATGAGGTACACTGGAGGTTCTGAGCTCCGATTAGTTTGTATCCTTCTTCACAATCAAATGCACAGGTTGCATTCCATGGGAAGCTCTCAGGATTTGGGGAACATTTCCTGACCCCATTAGCAGGATGTGTCAAAGCTTCACACTCAACCACTAGGGCAATGAAAGAACAGAGAAAGTTTTACAGAAGGAAATTTAACAGATATTTCATTTTCTTTTGAATTGAAGTTTAGAAAAAAAGGAAAACCCATCTTCAAAGGGTTTCTAACCCAAAGTTCTATGTCAATTCTCAGTGACATAAACACCCATAACAACAGTTTTAGTCTTCACTGATACTATTCAGATTTCTATCTTTTCTTACTAATTTTCATTTTGACTATGGTGAGTGGTGTCTCATCTATTTTATCTACAGAGGTAAGGAAAAAATAAGAAAATAACAGACCCTAGGTCATGATTTATGACTAGTTAGAATGAAAACAATCTTGAAACAGAAAGGACCTGAGTGATCAATCTTTTTGATGAGGGCTAAACAGGAAAACACTGTGGGAAAGACCTGAAGATTTCTAGACTTGGCCCACCGTCTGTATGATGCTCTCCTTTACAAGCAGCCAGAGGCCTCAAAAATACTTTTCAATCTCTTTTCAAAAAGAGATTTAAAAATGCTTCTGTCAAACCAAGTAAGTGCCATACTGGCTGTGTGTGTGTGTGTGTGTGTGTGTGTGTGTGTGTGTGTGTGTCTGTCTGTCTGTCTGTCTGTCTGTCTGTGTGTGTGTGTGTGTATTCTGTGGGTTTTGAGAAAGTTACAAGCTATATAAAAATTGCAGAAAGTGAGAGGAGGTTTGGTGTGTTCTGAGAGTTACCATGGCAGGCTGGTGCAGAAGCACTCCACTCTCCAGAAGACATACACCGCAGCGTGGTCTCCATACTGCTGGGCAAGTAGCCCCTTTCACAGCTGAAAGAGCAGGAAGAATTGTAGCTGAAGTTCCCGAAAGGGTGGGTGCAGTTCAGGCTTCCATGTTCAGGCTGTTCCTGTGCTTTACATGTCACAACTGAAAGAAAAGAAAACACTCAAATCATACCTATTCACCTCTCACCTTGATTGGAGAGAAGAGCACTGGACACCGTCATTAGTGCCTATTGAACGTTTCGTGTGGTCGGGCCCACTGTGGCCATTAGACTATGATGCTCTTCCTATTATTTTCATTTTTCATCCAAAACCTAAAATATATAACGACTATCATAGTCCACACGTAGACATTTAATTTAATGACAACCTCCATACACTTGGTCATCCTGTAGGACTGCTTTGTCAAGGTACCATAAGTAATAAGTGGTAAGTCTGAGATTTGACCCAGTAAGGTCTGACTTTAGAGTCTCAGCTAATCTGACACTATCACTCCAAGTCAGGCGAAACATGCAGACCTGACTGAAAAGCCAACTGGAATCTGAGAGAGTGCTACCATCTTTGGTGAAGGGACAGGTGAGGACAAAACTTACCTTGCTCACAGTTGTGTCCACTGAAGCCAGGGTAGCACTTGCAGGTGTAACTATTGATGGTCTCTATGCATTCGCCATGACTACTGCAGGATGCATGGGTGCAGGAAGCTGAAGAAAGCACAACCCATGATGAGGACAATTACTAGGTTCTCATAATGATTTCCTTTAAATTTAGAATCAGCAGTGTAACTCAGATATCATCAATGATATAAGTGCTCAAGATTTTGACCAAAGTGCTTTACAAAATGCCAAATCCAAGGTTCAGGCGCATCTATTTTACAACTTGGTGTTAATAAATAGACATCAAGAGAATAGCTGTTCTTGGTACCAAGCATAGAAAACTTCATTCCATATCTCTGAAGATACTTCCATGCCACAAGTAAATAGCTAAAATATGTATTGTGTGAGTATATGTACTCTGTATATGGATAAAACTATGCATATGCATATGCATATGCCTTCACTCACACAAATAAGTAAAAAGAGATACCATTACTGTTAGAATGTTTTACAATCATATCTTTTAACTATAAAATGTGCACAGTAGAGACCAGTTTTTACATATTCTTAATTTTCCAGGCTGCCCGCACACTGAAATGACTGCCCACTGCTGCGTGAAACGTCCTACCTGTGTAGCACAAAGCCAGTTTCTTTTTGTCACATCTCTCATCATTCCACATGCCTGAATCATGGGGTCTCTGGATATAGATTTCTACACAGTCCTCGTTGTTTCTCTTGTTATTTGGTTCACCGGGAGCCCAGTTCTTGGCTTCTTCTGTCAGAGGCTTCTGGGTCCCCACCCAGATCCATACATTATTGACCTTTCTGATTCCAATCCAGTAATAACTTGGTGAATAGCTCAATGTAAAGTTTAAGTACTCGATCTCTTCTTTGTTTTGAATTGCTACCAGATGTGTGTACTTCTCCTGACAATACGCACTGGCTTCATCATACGTCATGAGTTTGGTGGAGGCATTGTAGTACCAAGCTCCACTCTCTCCAATGAGAAACACTGAAAGGAATCAAGAAAGGAATTGTAGAGTTTAGATCTGCTACGGTTTAACTCCATTAGTCGAGCCTCATTTTATCTTATTTTTGGCATACATTGGCCTTTGTGATGGCCCAAATTTCATCACCTTTCCAAAAGTAAGAAAAGGAACATCTGAAAAAAACCCATCATTTATTAAGCGTCCTTATTGTGACTGGCCATCCACTAAGTGCTTTATCACCATCACGATTTAATATTTCCTCTTTACAGTACAATGAAAGCCAGACAAAAATGAAGCTTTGTTAAATGTTACTTGCCACCAAGCTCTGTGTAAGCCACTTTTCAGAAACTGAATAAATGATTCTTCACAATGCCTGAATATGTCATTTATGATTCATCTTTTACACATAAGGAAACTAAGCACTCTGATCACAGTATAGAACACTGAAAGAAACACTGCCAAACATCCTACAACACACAGAATAGCCCCATGCAAGAAAGAATATTCTGGTCTTCAGTGAAGATGCTCAGCCTGGTCTCACTTACCAATAGCGAGAGCAGAGAGAAACTGTGCGGCAATCATGGCTCCAGGAGCTCACACCACTGAAAGAGTAGGCTTGAGGTACTTTTCTGGGAGAGAAAGTACAGAATTAGTCATAGAAAGAAATTCTAAGTGCTGGTTGCTCAAATCCTTCTATCACGTTGCCTAAGTCAACACGTAACATTTTAGGTAAAGGATGTCAATGTATTTATTTCAAGTATTTATTTCAAATGACTTTCACTGTAATGAATGAAGACCAAATCTAAGCTTTTCATAATTTAAAACAATGAGAAAAGGCAGGTTTTAGTTACATACTATAACAGCTTTAAGCAGATCTTTCTATCAGAAGGATCTTTGTATATCTCTTCTCGCATATAAATCTATGTTTGGGGCCCACGGCTGCTCAAGCCATGGGCACTGAACTTACTGTTCTTTGGAATGGTTGTCTGGCTGTTAGACCTCAGGTGTATCGCTGCTGCTTCTGCCTCTTAGTTCTTCTAGCAACTTTGATGTGTCCTTAGCCAAGAACTACTGAGCATTGCGTCCGCTGCAGCTTCTTTATAGAAGTTCTTACTTCCTGTGAGTAATAGGACAATATTAGCCAAATCCGGTACAGAGGAAATTCTCAACTACATCCAAAGTTTCCCGGGAATATCCACTACATTAAAAGAAATTTTATAATGATGTCAGAAACTTTGGCCCCTCAAACTAATCCCCCCTTTTCCACGCTTTTATATTGTATATGCAATTTTATTAATAGGACACAAATTTGTAATCTCAATTTGAGTATTATAAAGTCTATATCTTTAAAATGTTTTAAGACTTTGCTAATTATTATTATCACTCAAGTAACTATGATAGAAATTAGTTTCATAAACATAAGCAAACTAAGAACATTTTGCTATCCGTGCATGGCTGTCATTAATGGATTTAAACAGGCTTTTTATTTCACTCACCTACAGCCTCAATCCATGCTAATAAGCACTGTGTCACAGGGAAATGAATCATGAGTATATGTTAGTCCTCAGATTCTACACAATACTTATGACTGTATTACAAATTAGCTCCACTCAAATATTTTAAATAATGCCTTATTCCTCCAAAATCGGATAAAATGGGAAATAGAAACAAACCCCAACATTTAATAGAAGATTTCTTTCTTCTACCTTCCCATTATCTTTCATTTTCCAGATACCGAAATTCTTTCAATTCTTCATCCAAGTTTACTTAGCTAAATGTTGTTGCTTTTGCTCAGTAAATGTAGAAGTGTAATCACACATATTGTGTATTCAGATTTTAGGGGAGGATGCAGCTATGTTCAAACAGTCTCTCTCTCTCTCTCTCTCTCTCTCTCTCTCTGTGTATGTATTACAGATATGTGTCTGCCTTTAATTTTAAAAAAGCATAGTCAAGATAATGTGGAACATTCCTATAATCTAAGCACTTGGAGGCTGAGGCAGGAGGATTGGTGGGTGTTTGAGGCCAGCTTGGGCAACATAGTGAGTTCCAGTCTGGGTTACACGTGTAAAGCACCATCTCAAAAAGAAAAAAAAAGCTTATGCATTGACTTAAATCTTAAAACAAAATTTATCTGGCATATTGATTAAGTGCCTAATAATTCTTTTCCAAATTAGTCATAAACAGCCCTATATCATACATCTATGTTTATGGATTTCTTTCATAACAAGTTTCTAGTTTAACCACTGGTGAAACATGACCTGTGGTGATACGGCACCTATTCAATGACCTAGACCCTGATTATAATCTCTAACACACCAAGTCCTTGCTCTGTGTCAGACTTTATTCTGAGCATTTTGCATGTTCATCTATAACATTACTTACTCCTCACAATGCTTGTGAAATGTGTACTCTATCTCTGTTTCGCAGATGAGGAAATGAAGGAACCAGGTTTCACCTATCTAATCTAACTGCAGAGATAAGTAGCTGAAACCCAGGCAACTGGTCTCCAGAACCCACTCCCATAATTGCTGCCCTAGTTCATGATATCTTTTGTTATTATGCCCCATGTTGAGGTTTCCTGCTCTTCCTCACTCTTTAATCTTTCCTTTGCCCTCTTCTTCCTGAAGCCCCTTGATCACTAAACCTCTCCACCAAGGGAGTTGTGTCCTAAGAGCTGAAAGCATGAGAGCAGGAGAGGGACGCAGGTCAGTGAAAAATAGAAAAAGGAAGTTGTGAAGACAGACCCAGGGTTCCCAGCAAATAGAAAATGAACAAAGGAGAATAGTTAGGAGGGCAGACTGTGCCCTGGCTAGCAGTGGCTCACTGTATGCCATACTTCTTGAAAGGTCTGGAGTCAAAAGCAAACTCCCTCCAAGGCAAAAGGGCAAAATATATATTCTAAATTTATATTGAGAAAACTTCAGGCAGAGAATCAAATACCAAAGGAAAGGATAATAGAAAAGAGTAGAAGAGACTTTTATAAAGCTACACGTAAATATCATTTTTATTTCATTTACTGTTTTTACTATTTTATGTGTTTTATTGCCTGCATTTATGTAAGTGCACCAGTGTCATGTAATGTCTGCAGAGGTCAGAAGAGGGCATTTGATCCCCTGGAACTGGAGTTACAGATGGTTGTTAACTGTGATGTGGGTGCTGGGAATCAAGCGTGGGTCCTCTGCAAGATCAGCTAGTGCTCTTAATCACTGAGCCATTTCTCCAGTCCCACATATAAATATCTTAGTAGGCAGTATATCATTCCAAATCCACTCAACCTAATAATTATCCTGCATTTTCTTAGGATATTTCTGTACCCTGCCCCTTAGACTAGACCTGAAAATCCTGTGGCTGGGCACCAGGAGCTGATGGACTTGTTTTGGTTGCTCAGGTTGCTGAAGAGACCGTAAACAGGAGACCCAGGATAACCAGGAAGGGACTCTCAGGCAGCCTCAGCTGATTCATCCTGTTTGGCGCTAATGAAGGGCACCTACTTTGGTCGGGGGGTGGGGGGGCGGGTTGTGAAAGGTAAGTTGAAGAGGAAATTGAGTGAGATTTTAAAAGCTGGGCTTTTGAATATTAATCCCTTCCAGATAATTCAAAAATTTCCGAGAAATGACCTAATTAGAGGTACCTCAGTCTCTACCAAGCTTCTCTCAAATTCTGAACATGTATCTGGGCTGTTCCTGAACTGCTGAGTTTTCTCAACCTGGGCTCATGTAGACCCGTGGACAATCTCCATCTCAGAGGCGACAACCTCTACATGGATGTGATTAATTAAAGGAAAGATGGTGCCTACACAGGTACATCTTAAGCTGCTCCACCCTGTGCCCCATGTCCTTGCTTCATTGGCTCTTTCCATGAGTCCTTTGTCTTTCCTGTCACGCCCTTCGCATTAAGGACTTTAATGACTTTCAGTTCCCTACCCAGGCCCACTCATTTTTCACCTCTTGGATGAAAGGGCATCTCTGAGTGAGAGTCTGACAGACAAGTGTTAGATTTCTAATGAAGACCACTCTGTAGAGAGAGCAGATTGTATGGCAGGTATGGCGGAAGCCACGTTGGTCATAACCACTTGTGACAAGAATCTTGATAGAGTTGTCTATTTGTCTGAGTCCTCATTGCTGAGGGTAACTGGGAAGTACAGGCCGTGCCTTCTGCCTGTCTCCAGGAGTGGGGTTCCCCATTCTCTTATTTCTGGAAAATGCTTGCTTTATCTCTTACTTTTAGATTTTTCAAAAGCCTCAGTACCCATTCCAATCAAAAAATTCTGTTCTGCTAACATCTAATGACATCTAAATTATCTTTATAGTGACAAGTAGAAGAAAATCTTAATGAAGATTCAATCTCACTTGCAGAATATAAGCATAGCTCTCTCATATCCAAAATGGAGGAAGAAAATTAGTATCAGTGTACCACTGTGTTGCAAAGCAGCATTGTTTGATCATAGCCTAAGTACAGTGAATATAAAATTGGTCTGGATACTTCTAAGTTAATTTCCCAAGAAGTCATGTTTACTCACTTGACATATTAGACATCTCAAACATCTGGATGGGATAGCAGCTCAGCACTGCCCACTCCCCTTGTCACACCCCGCAGAAGATGTCAGCTTCTCAGAAGAGTCACCTGAGCAGCTCAATAAAATTCACATCTTGGCTGTGCGTGCTCACAATCTTGTAATCCTGGCATCCAGGAGGCTGAGGTCAGTCTGGTCTACATAGTAAGCTTCAGGCCCATCAAAGCAACATAGTAAGACCCTGTCCCATGAAAACAAAAAGAAGAATAAACGAGAAAGAGAAAGAAAGCGGGAGAAAGAGGAGGGGGGAAAGAAAAACAGAAAGAGACAGAAGACAAGACAAGAAAAGGAGCAGGTGTGGTGGTGCATGCCAGAACTTGGGAAGTGGAGAGACAGAAGGATCAGGAGTTCAACGCCAGCCACAACTACATAATGAGTTTGAGGCCAGCCTGGGCTACAAGAGCTCTTATCTAAAAAATAAAAAAAAAAGTAAAACAAAAAAAAATCCCAAGAAACCAACAAACAAAAAAAGCACATTTTAAGTGCCAGAGTTTTGAACAAACTTCCACAGCAGTTAATAACAACATCTTCTCTGTGTAACTGGATGATTGAGGTACAGAGGATGACCAGGCACATATAAAGAGTATTTAAGATGATTTGCTGTTTTGAATTCTCAATATGAGAAATAAATGGCTTATAACTAAAGAAGAAAGAACAGCTGCTAAGTCATTAGCGTGTGTGTGTGTGTGTGTGTGTGTGTGTGTGTGTGTGTGTTTGTGTTTATTCTCTTTTTTCCTGGATTCAAGGGGACTCTGTAACTTTGCTCATCCCCCTTCTCGAGAATCCTAGATGACAAAAGACTTAACATGCTTGGTTTCCTGCTTGGCAGCACCTTATCTTGAAACTTCCGAAACTTTCTGTTTGGGGATTTAAGCAATAATTAATGGGAATATCTTTGAAATGAGCCAACTCTGGTGAATTCCACAAGCTGGAGAAACAAAGGAGGGTGGGCTGGACTGGCTAATTAACTGAACTTTTCCTGAAAGCAGCCAGGCTACTTGCTGACTGT